GCCCTTGGTTCTCAACTTTAGAAGAGGCATCACAGCCTAATGGGAAAAATACCACACCAAGACCAGGATGCAGAAAACCTGGAATTCAGTCCCATTTCCACTGCTTTCCAGCTGTCTGACCAGGGGTAAATCATCCTACCTCCCAGGCTTTGGCTACAACTAGAGTAGAGTGTCTGACTTAAGCGTCAGGAAGACCTGAGTTCAGATTTTACCTTAGGGTTACTAGCTTCATGACCCTAGGCAAGTAACTTAACCTAGTTGTCCAGAGGATCAGATGAGATAAAATGTGTAAAGTGCTTTGCAAACCTTATAGAGCTATACAAATGCTAATTATTATTATTATTATCAGTTATCATGGAGGGTGCTGGGAAATGACTCAAATCACTTCTCTGAAGCCCTGTGAGGTATGTTGTTTAGTTTTTCAGTCGTGTCTGACTCTGACACTGGTGGGTTTTCTTGGCAGAGATACTGGACTGATTTGCCATTTCCTTCTCCAGCTCATTTTATAGGTGAAGAAACTGAAGCAGACAGGGTTAAATGACTTACCCAGGGTCACGCAGCTAGTAAGGCTGGATTTGAACTCAGGATGATAAGTGTTTTAGGCCCAGTGCTCTATCCACTGCACCACCTAGCTGAGGTAGATAGGAGAAGTATTATTATCCATATTTTGCAAATGATGAAAGAGATTAAGTGACTTCCAATGGTTCCACAACTGAAAAAGCATCTGAAGAAGGATTTGAACCCAAGTCTCCGAAATAACAAATCCAGTGTTCTACCCATTATGCCAGGCTGCTGCCTTTCTGTGATCTGCCACTGACATGACGTAGGTGGCCTTGGACAAGTCACCTAAATCTCTGAGTCACTTAACTCATCTGAAAAGCGAAGGGGTTGGATTGAATGATCTCTGAGGTCCCTTCCAGTGCCCAGGCCTCTCGGTGATCTTTTGTTCTAGGCCCTTCTTGCCTATCTTGACCTGTGGAATCATCCCCAGTCTGTACATTTTAGGTAGGGGTTCTTAGCCAGAGGATTCATGGAGAGATTTCAGGGATATCTATGAACTTGGATAGTGAAAAAAAAAAGATCTTTATTCCAACATAATGAGTTTTCTTTGTAATCCTCTATTTTATTTTATGCACTTAATAACATTATAAGGGGCCCTAGATTTCACCTGACTGCAGGAGTCCATGAAACCCAATTTAAGGGAAGGGACCTGTGGCTTTGGGGAGGATTATCCACTCCCCACACCTTTGAACTTGTAAGATCCTTCCCATACCCTGCCTTCCCTCCCCCAGGTCTAATGAGTAGTCACGGGTTTTTTGTTTTCCTCTAAATAAATATTGGAGCCTGGAGTTGGCAAAAATAATAGCCCTAGTCAATTGGTTGTAGTTCACCGTATCACCTGTCTGGTGGGAGCATTGAGGGCAAACAGAATGTTGGCAGGTAAATCTTTTGTATTTTCCTACGAAGATGAATTGAATAGTTATCTCTTTTGCCACCAGCCCTTTCCTGCAAAGCAATGAGAGGCAGTGGGATGGACTGCCAGGCCCCAGGGCCAGGAAGGTGAGGCTCTCGTGCCCCTCCCCCCTCCCCCCAGAACCTTCCCGGCTGTGTGTGACCTTGGGCAACTCACTTCTCTTCTTTCATGGTCATACTTTCCTCGTCTGTAAAACAAGGATACCAGTTTTCACAAACCCACCTCTCTGCATCTCTTAAGCCCTTTGTAAGCCCTCAGGCACTGCATGAATGTTGAGCTATCATCACTGAACTGTAAGGATGGACATTGATCTTTCTTGTTTCCTAGGTTGCTTTGCCCCATTTGGGAGCCAGCCAAACATTCCCCTAAGAATGAGAATTTTGACCCATTCTCTCTGCCCGTGGCTGAAAGCTAAGAGCCCATCAGCCCAGGAAAGCTCCTGGCTGAGCCCCAGCACCCTTTCTCCCAGAGCTTCTGGTCAGCTTGGCCAGGGAGCACTTCCCATCCATCTCCCTAACATTAGTCCTACTGAGAGAATTTGGTTTGGAGTCAAATGCTTGAGAAAAATCTACACACAGATTGGGGCAGCCCTTCTGCCTCTGGCCAAGATGCCTGAGTGCCCTCCTTGGCACAGCACGATCACCCTTGCCCTAGTGTTTTTCCAGTTGGCAGAGACCCTTCGCTCTCCTCCCCAACAGCTGTTTCTCCCAGGACTCCTGTCTGCTTGGTTTTTCGGCTCTAATAGGAGTGATGAAATCTTTGCTCAGGAAGCCTTTTAACCCCCCAACCTCCTCACCCACCCCACACATGCACACACTTTACCTCCCACTGTGGCAGGGGCCCTCACTGGGACCACCCAGGATGAGAGGAGTGCCTTCCCAGGAGAGAGGTCTCTGGCTGTTCTTGCTAACACAGAAGGATTGATTCCTCTCCCCCACCCCATCCCCCAATCTTTGCCTCTGCCTGAGAAATCCTGCCTCTCAGCCAGGAGCCCTGCGGCTGGGTCTACCCTAGGTCTTTCCTTTGGTACAGAAAAAGTCGAAGATAACTGATAACGCTGGCTAAGTGCAGCCCCCTTCCCCTCGGGTGAGCTGGGAAGGGGACTCATTTGTCTCTGACCTTGGAGGGGCCCTAGGATGAGCTGGTTTTATGGCCAGCAGCTGTCCTTTTTTACCCTCCCATGGCCATCTTTAATAGGATTGGAAAGTTTCATGAAGGGCCCCAAGACAGGAAGCAGCCTGTTTACCCTAAAGCCTAACAGTGCTCCAGCTGGGTTGGGCTTCAGCTGTTGCAGAGACAAGTCATTTCCTTCTGGGCTTCTGCTGGAGCAGGATCCAGACTCTCCTTGTACCCAGAGGTGCATACATTTTTTTGTTTCCTTGTGGAGAGGGGGTGGATTATGGAAAGAGAGGTTTAGCATTTCTTTCTATATGTACATCCTTTTTTATTAATTTACACACACACCTTTCTCTTCCTTGTCTGTTTCTTAGACCTGCGTGTCCCCTCTGTGCAGGGTAGTAACTAAGAATTTATGTGCCCATCAAATTCCCCAACTGTGACCTGGACACAGAGTAAGGGGGAAGGAAGGTTACAGGCTTAATAAATGAAAGGGGCCTTAGAGATCCACCCACCACCACTTTACAAAGGAGGAAGCTCAGGTCCAGAGAAGGAAGTTACTTGCCAAAGGTCACACAGCAAGAGCTAGCGTTTGAATCCAGGTCCTCTGACTTGGAACCTAGCACTCATTTCTGTGCTGGAGAGAAGGAACTGTAGCAGTGGGGGGAAAAGGGATTGGAATCCCAGAACACTGCCCTCCCTGGACAGAAGTGCCCCAGGGGATCCAGCAAGCTGAATTCTGCCTGGTCCTCTAGGAGCTGTGCCCTCATAAAAACTCATGGCATGCTTCCCGCCAGGGCCCAGGAAGAGCTAGCTGATGGCCTCATTATATTTCATAGTCTCAGAGTTGGAAGGAATCTCACGGAGCATGTTCCCTCAGCAAGGATCTACTCCACAAAGTGTCATCTGGCCTCCCTTTGTAGACAATCCAAACAAACATTTGTTCTACTGATAATATTTTTTATGTCACTGTCACTTCCCTAGTGATTTCCATGTACACACACACACACACACACACACAATCCTCCTTTATAAGAAAGTACAATTAAGCCAAATAAATCAACACACTGGTTATATCTGACAGCGTCTAACTCTTTCCACACCTGAGTTCTGCCCACTCTCTAAAGAGGCTGCCCCCTGGAGATGAGGTCAGCTGCTGCATTGATCAGCATCCCAAAGTTTGTCAGTGATGTTTTTCCCTGCAGCCTTATGGTGTTCGTGTACATTGTTCTCCTGGTTTCATTTAATTTGAATTTGTATCAGTTCATGTCTTCCCAATGCACATTGGTCATTTCAGACACTAGCTATGTGATCCTGGGCAAGTCACTTAACTTCTGTTTGCCTCAATTTCCTCATGAGTAAAATGAGGATCATATTAGCACCTCCCTCTTAGGGTTGTTGTGAGGATTAAATGAGATAATATATGGAAAGTGCTTTGCAAACTAAAGTGCTATATAATTGCTAACTAATTATAGTTATTACTAATACTCTATGAATTGCTTTATTTTCTGAGCCATTCTGTAATCGGTAGATACCCACATTCCTTCCAATTCTTTGCCATTACAAAAACTGCAGTTATAAATGTTGCTCTGTGTATATGACCTTTTCCTTTTTTTGTTTTTTGTTTTTACTCTTCTTAGGGGTACATGCTAAGTAGTTATCACTGGGTCAAAGGATAGATGCAGTTTAGCCACTTTCCTAGTATATTTCCAAATCGTTTTCCAGAACTGTTGGAGCAATTTGCAGCCCCAGCAAAACCTGTTTTTACATAGCTCCACCAATACTTACCATTTTGATCTTTTGTAAACTTTGTAAACCCATTGTAAACCCAGTCCGATGGGTATGAGATGAAACAGACATTTATCAAGCACCTAATATATGCAAGGCATTATGCTGCCTATTGGGTCTGCAAAAACAAAAAGCCCTCATTCTGCTGGTACGGGGTTGGATGGATGGGAATTACACAGAAATAGGCACAATACAAGGTAAATTAAGTGGGGAGAGGCTATTAACTACTGCAGGAACCAAGGAAGCCTTCCTGAAGGAAGTGGTACCTGAGATAAACATAGAGAAAGACAAGGTGAAGATGAGCGAGGATGAAGTCAAAGGTCAGCAGATTTCCAGCCTCTGTGGGAAGGAGGGGGAAATCGAAAAGGGCCACGGGGGGCTCGCAAGGGCAGGAGAGGGACAAGCAGGCTCAGAGCAGCGTGGAGGGGGACTGGAGGTTGAAGGCGGGTGGTGAGAGAGGGCATCAGCTTTGGGGGGTGTAGGGAGGGCGAAGGGGAGCCTCTGCGGGAGGACTGAGGGAGGCGGGCAGCTAAAGCTGCTATCTGCAGGATGAGACGATGCAGAAGACGGTGTCAGGGACCGGGGGCCTTGGGCTAGATACCGAGCTTTGGGTTGGTTCAGGGAGGTGAGGGCTGGGACTTGAGGCAGGTACCCCGAAGTGTGGCCGAGCAGTGGGGCCGAACTTGGGGACCGGACAGAGGGCAGAGACGGGGCTGGGCAGCAGGGTGACCGCTACAGGTTAGTTGAATAAAGGCTGGATCTAGGGGCGGGTTAGAGGGAGGAGTTGGGGCCCGGCAGGCGCTGGACCGGGGTGAGGCTGGGGACAGGCGCGCACCGACGTGGGGGGTGCGGTGGGAGGTGCCGGGGTGGAAGGAGAAGGGGGCTGAGCTAATGCTGGGCGGGACCGGGGCCGGGCGGTGGCCGCAGCCGCTCGGGGGTGGGGCCAAATCCGGGAGGGGGCGGAGTCTGGAGTTGGGTGCGGGCAAAGCTCCGGCCCGGGCGAAAGCCGGATCCGGGTTGAGGGCGGGGCCTGGGTCGGGAGGGGGTGGAGACTGAGCTGGGTCTAGGCTAGAGGCGGGGCAGGACCTGGCGATGGTTGAGGGAGTGGTCTGTTGTCCAGGATCCGGTTGTGGGGTGGGGTGGGACCAGCGCCTGGGGTGGCTGGGGGCGGGGCGGGTGACGGCACGACGGCTTCTGGGCTCGGAGGCTGGGGGCGTGGTCGGCGCCGGAGAGGCGGGTCCTCAGCGTCGGGGGGCTGGGCGCCATGCCGGGCCCCGACTGAGGGGGCGCTGCGGCGGGAGGCCGGCGGGGCAGTGGCGGCGGCAGCAGCGGCCGAGGGGGCGGAGCGCACCTACAGAAGCTGCCGAGCCGCGGAGCGAGCGCTGTGTGCGCCGCCGCCGCTGCCGCCGCCGCAGCTGCTCCCGGCCCGGCCGCCCTGTCCGTCCGCTCGTCCGCCCGGCTGGGGGCGCGGAGGCGAAGCCCAGGCCGCGGCCGCATGAAGGAGTGCGAGTACCAGCAGATCCGCCCCGGGGCCGCCCCGCCGCCGCCGCCCAGCGCCCCCCACTCCGGCTCCGGGCCGCCCCCGACGCCCCGCAGGCTGAGCTCGGGCCCGGGCCCCGCCGCCGCCGCCGCCTCCTTCTCCACCGCCTCCGTGCGGCCGTGCCGCAAATGGGAGGTGTTCCCGGGCCGCAACCGCTTCTACTGCGGCGGCCGCCTCATGCTGGCCGGGCACGGCAGCGTCTTCGCGCTCACCGTCGTGCTCATCGTCACCACCACGACGCTCTTCTTCATCTTCGAGTGAGTGAGGAGGGGGCGCAGCCCCTCCCCCGCGCGTCCGCCGCCTCCATCCCCTCATCTCTTGTGGCCAGGGCTGTCATCCCCATCCCTCCCGCCTCAGTCCCCGTGGTCACCGTCAGCCTGCGTGGCCTCTGTTCCCCTTGGTCAGCTCCGCCATCCGTGCTCCCTCTGTCTCCTTGGGTCATCTCTACCCATCCCTACTGCTCTGCCTGCCTTGGGTCATCTTTCATCCCTACCCCATCTGCCGCCCCTCCCCCCATCATCTCTACCCATCCCTGTGTTTACTGACCCCTGCTAGGTCATCTCCTTCCATCCCTACCCTCTGCCCCCCTCCCCCCATCATCTTGTTCCATCCCTACCCCCTTGGGTCATATCCTTCCATCCCTACCCCCCCCTCATCTCCTTTCATCCCTACCCTCTGCCCCCCCATCATCTCCTTCCATCCTTACCCTCTGCCCCCCCATCATCTACCCTACCCCCTTGGGTCATATCCTTCCATCCCTACCTCCCCATCTCCTTCCGTCCTTACCCTCTGTCCCCCCCATCTCTTTCCATCCCTACCCCTCTGCCCCTGCTGGGTCATCTCCTTCCATCCCTACTCTGCCCTCCCCCATCATC